CCAGGCTGTCCTGAACGTCCAGCTGCACCCCTCGCCAAGGGGGAAGGCCTACGTGGCCGAGCTGTGCGACAAGCTCGTAAAGGAGGACAACGAGATCGACAACCCGAGCAGCTACCTGATGAGGTGGCAGCAGGAGAAGACTCGACTTCTCAGTCTCTTGCCTGGAATTAGCAATTGTGTTTGTTCTATTTGCTTTGAAATCCCTAAACACACTAAGCGCTAAACAATAGACCACACGGCACGTCACTGAACCCGTAACTCGTTCTTTGCTAACTGCTAACTAAGTGCGGGAACAACCTGCTGCGTGGACGCAGAGCATGGCCGTCCAAGAATGGGGCATATGGGCTCGTCCCGATGCTGCCTGGTTGCAAGGTTGGCAGGAGTCGGGCTCTTGGGACGAGGCAGAGAGCAAGTATCTCTGTCATAGTTAGTAACATTTCAATTTTTTGAATGTGTACTCCCTGAAACGCAACAACTGTTTGAGACTCGTCATGCTATCCCGACAATGAACTAGGTATTGGTCGTCAGTCGGGGAGGAATACCGACCGGACCAGTACAAAGAATGGCTTGACCCGAATCAGAAAGAATGGACCGGGCCTTCGCAGTAATCCCAGACCTTCCGACATCCGATAAGTGGAATGTAACCAAATCATGATATCCTTATTTTGATTGAAGGTATATTCCAAAGCCAACAGATATTGGAAGGCTGGGGCACAGTCGTAGTGAGAGTCGAACTTTCCACTGAGCTCAGTCAGCCGCCTGAGCCTTTTTTGGACGGTGGAGCTCAGTAGTCCAACGACGTGACGACATTCGGCACACAACATACATGACATATCATATCTATGGGCCTTGAGCATTACTACTGCTGACTCTGAACATCTCAATTCGGATACTGAGCCCATCCAGTCGGACTCACTGTGCGGAATAGCTGGTGATTTCAGTCGAGTTGTCGAGTCGGGAATGGTGGTCATCAACTCTTTCAGTCGACAAGGAGTGACGGCGACGATCAGGATCAAAAAGAATCGGTTGCCTCATGTCATGTCATATGCTTTGAATTGAAATGACATTAGTCAGCCAGCGTCATGAGTGCACTGGGCAGGCAGTCGCCCTTCTTTTGCCAGACAGCCTGGGCCCTGGAGTGCAGAATCCAGAAGCTGGCAGTGCTACAGTCACTGAGATTGCCAAGACACTTGTTGTGCCAAGTCGAGGAGGGATGCTCAGTCAGTCGGGAAGTCGAGCTGTTTCCGTTTCCATGCTTCTTCCACCGAGGCTGCCTGCCGGGGTTCTTCAGTTTGACCGTCGAGGCCGGGGGCTTTTTGCCCATTGCATGTGGTTTGCCTTGCAGCGCGTGAGGCCATGGCACCCGACCTCCTTTTCATGCTTGGCTGGGCGCTCAAGGAAGCTCAGAGGGTATTCACGTTAAGCTGATCAACGTGTTGTGATTGCAGGCTGCAGGCAAGCATTGTGCATTGCTGGCATTCAGTGAAGTTCATGGTCGACTTTGTTTACGCTGCAGTCGCAATTTTCTTTTCAAAGTCGTGCCTCTGAGTCCGCTCGCCCTACTGCGCAATGCCGAAACTCGTTGGTTGCCAGATCTTTCGTGATGACGCTGGTCTTGTCCCTCATTTGCAGATATTTGCATAGGCTTTCTGTGTCTGCAGAGTTCACATGACTTGTGCTGCAAATGTTACTCCAAAGCGACGTTGGCCACATGGGCCGAAGTGTGCCAGAGCACTGAGTCGCTTCGGGCAAACCTCAGCCTTCCGAGTGTTGCCCAGGACGCTGCATTCTGTATGCTGTGTTGAACATCCAGAGGGCGTGCATACGTTACATTTGCGAGCTGCACGACAAGTCGGACAATGTGATCGACAATGATGCGATGGTAGCAGGAGAAGAGTGAGTCGTTTTTTCAGTCTCTTGGCTGGGATGTCGTAGGAGACCCAGAGCGAAGAGTCAGTCGACAAGCCGATGGCGCAGAACAATATCAAGTCTGCCCGGTTGCTAGCTGAGGCAGCGGATGTCGAGTCGGACATTGCCCGGGGAACCAAAAGCGTGCCCGGTAGTCGCGTGAGGACTCGGCTTCCTAGATTCTCAACAGATTGTTTTCCGCATCCAGTGCCATGTTCCCTCGTCATCGACCTGACTTTGTGTTTCATCCAGAACCCATTGAGAAGAAGCCTTTGAGTGTCCTTTGTTTCCCTTGGCTTTGTCGAGCACTGGAACATGACATACAAGGATGTGATATGCTCGGCCTCTTCAGTCGGGATCGAGTCCAGCTCAAGTCGTGTTTTTATTGCAGCAAACGTGCCTGCCACACTCGATCTTCTTTCAGTCAAAAATCTTGAGTTTCCTTGCCGATCCGTTTCTTGGGTTGATAGGTTCGATTCGATTATGCGGCCTGTTACGCCAGTGCTTTATGAGTTGCAGCAGCTTGCGTTTGTGTATTGCGATTGGATTGCAATCAGTGCCTAGGCCACAGGCATTCTCTTCCTGGCGAAGGTGCAAATCCTTGAACAGTGCGAGCAGAGTTTCAAAGTATCGACGAGTCGAGTGTTTGCAAGCTTGCTTTGTCGCACAGGCCTCCAAGCAATCGCAACAACATGACCAAGCGGAGAAGGTGCCAGCTGCGTGATTGTTCTGACACGGCTCGTGCTTGCCTTGAGATCCCAGTGCCCGGTGCTTGGCAGTTGAGTATGACTGAAATGTTTGCTTGGCCGCACCGCAGTCGTCAGTCGCACCGCCTGTGCAGGGCAACATGAGGAGCAATGTGTTAAGAAGCCTAGCAGCGAGAGTCGGTCTGGACATCTAGTCTAAGCATCTAAGTCGTCTGATCCATGGCAGACAGTCGCTATCGCCATGGGCAGAGTCGCGATCACCGCAGCCGCAGTGACCGTGCTGAAGACCTCCGTCGAAGGTCTTGGGTGCCAAGCAGCGGTCCGAGTGCTGCAGTCGCTTGTACTTTTTATCTTAGGCACGTATTGCAGGCAGTTTAGTGTTAAGGGTTTAGGGCGGTCATGGCACGTGTTGCAGGCAGTTTAGGGTTAAGGGTTTAGGGCAGTGACATCATCCCAGGTAGTCGGTCGGATGTGGGAAAACTTTCCGGAGATCGCTAGCACACTCCAAAGTCGAGAACTGGACCGTGCAGCATGGGACTCGATGATGTCCCTGGCCGGACACCCCAGCCCACGTGGGCTCGCCTACGCTTCCGAGCTGACCATGAAGCTCAACCAAGTCGCTCCACAGAACCCGTCGGCGTGGGTCATGGCTGCAGTGAAGAGGAAGATGCACCTCTTGAGTCGCTCCGCTGCACTAGTCGACATTCAGATCTGCCAGAAACAGTCGAAGCTTCAGTAGCTCTGTCATGATCTGATTCCCCGTTTCAACTAAGTGGCGGAGCATGCCTCCGAGAACAACAGCGGCATGCCTCGCGAAAGCTGGGCTCCGTGGGCTCGAGGCGAGCCTGACGACCTGGTCGTAAACAAGCAGCGGGAGTCCTGGCTGCGACAGAAAACTTTGGCAGCTCTGGAGTCGTTGAACTTGGACTCAGATAATTTTGGCGAATCGGCTGAGGAGGAGTCGTCTTTGCCGACACTGAAGTCCACTGACTTTGAGGATCGCGAGTCGGCCAAGTCCAAGCAGCTCAGGCGCAAGTCGGAGACATCCAAGGACGACAGGCTCGACAGGCGCAAGTCGCTCAAACCCACGGCCAGGAGCAGTCATGAGTTTGACGACGAAGACGACCGCGAAGAGGAAGTCGAAGTGGAGTATGACGACGATGGGCAGTGGCAGGACCATGACGATTCGTGGGAGCATTACGACGAGTCGTTGTGGAATGACTGGCATTTCCACGAGGACGACGACCGAGAGTCGAATCACAAGCCCACCCCTAAACCCTCAACACTGCGTTTTCAATCATTGTCCGATGGCCATCTCTTTAAGTTAAATAATCTACATAATACTTTGCTTGCAAGCAAATCCAATGCCAAAGGACCCATCTACATGGGAGAATGAAGAATGCCCAGGCAGCCCACTCCAGCCGCACGATGACAACGACAGCTACAGCCGCTCCGCACCGACCAAGACCGAGTCGAAGGATCCGGCCAAGAAGAAGAGCAAGTCGTCGGAAGGCAAGCCGATCCAGGCCAAGTCGAAGGAGCCGGCCAACAAGAAGGACAAGTCGGAGGAAGGCAAGCCGGGCAGTTCGAAGACGGTTGTCAAGGAGCCGCGGGGCCCACCTCCGGCAAAGCTGAAGCCCAAGGCCAAGAAGATGCCACCGCTCAAGCCTCCCTGGAAGAAACATAACCCCCGTGATGACGATTCATCGGACTTGAAATGAGTTGATTGGTGGTCAGTCGGTATGTACTGCGAACGTATATGCAAAATGCACCAGCGCCAGTCGACTGACAACCAATCTGCCTCAGTCCAGAGCAGTGGCAGCGCCAATTGGCCGATCACCTGCCTTCGTCATCCGTTAGCAACTGATTTCAGCAATGACTCAGTCATTCGCTTTACGTTGCAGAGATTTTGCCAGAAGGATGAGCTGGCCGCTGCTGCAAAATGCTGCCCAGAAATCGGCCACTGAACGAAGTGTGAGTGCAATCGTAATTCCTGTTAGTTCAACCCTGGCCAGGTTCATCTCGATTTCGAAGATGTCCTCATGCCTGGGCCTTTGATCCATGTGTGTTTGCTGGGCGTGAGAGACGGCAGTTGCGAAAAACTTGCTGTCAGGTCTGGATGGACAGCGTTGCGGTTCTGACTTTCCGTGTCTGACAAGGCAGGCCAGTCAGTGGTTAGTGTTGGGGTAGTCCTCTGAGCTGTGCCGGAGGCTGAGTCGTTGGTCTTTTCCGAACCGTATCGACCTCTCCACGCAGCTAGCTCAGAGATGCGAAGCGTCGCTCGGGTCTTGCACATGTTTTTCGTCACTGCTTGCTTTCAGTCGCCGCTCAAGTCCTGAAATACTAGTTCTTTGGGCAGCCCATAGAGTGGCCTTCCTTCCAATCATGGACCGTCCTCAAGATCTTCAAACACAGAACGACGAGCAGGAGAAGCCTTCTTTCTGCCTGGTGAAGACGACGAAGCCACGTGCGAAGAAGATGCCGCTGGTGCTGAGACGCCGATTGGAAGCGGAGGAGGAGTCCAAGAAGCAGTCGAACAAGAAGCAGAGGGCCACGGAGAAGGCTGATGACTTCGACGCTGATATCACAGTCGAGCCGCTGACGGCGCAGGCTTCTGAACAGGAAACTCCGCCAGTCGAACCTCCGTCTGCCTGGCCTTCCAGAATCTCAGTCGTCTTTGTCTCAGAGTCCGACACAAAGCTGGAATACCCAAGCTCGAGCCAACTCGTGCTGGATGCGAACTCAGCGAAGGAATCACCACCAGTCCAAGCACAACAAGACCCTGAGTCCAGCTAGATCTCTCGACAAGATCAAGAACGTGCGCTACGGAATCTTTGTCTTAAAGGAGACGGACTACTGAGAAACCCCAACAGTCGCACATTCACGTGTTTCAATTTTGGATTAGTCGTTAGTCGAACATCGCAGCCCGGTGCAAAATGAGGTCGTATGCGTTCACCCATCGGTGTACCAGGTTCAGTAGAGAATGCTTTCATTTCGGTGTTCTTATCTTCATAAGGGCTACTGACAATTCTCACTGGAAGGCTCTGCTATCGACTCTTGCAAGGGTTCTGTCATGGTAGGGGACGCCGGTCCATCTGAGATCTAGAAGGCACGATTTCCATGTACCTAGACCGAAACAATGCACCGAGACCCAATATTTCTGCTGGCCCCAGAAAGTTCCATTCGGACTGACCGTTGCAAGGCCGAGGCCTCGTCGGGAGCAGTCGCAGCAACGTGACCCACTTACTGGAGAAGGCGCCACCAGAGTCCGAGTGTCTCTGATTGTAGTTAGTTCACTTGCATCTTACATGACTTCTACAGACTCCATCTCTTTCTGCAGTCGTTTGCATCCGTGTCTGTTTGAAGTGCAGCTTTGAAGACGAATGAAAGTGCCAAGGCAGGAACACAGACTGAGATCGTTGAATCGTTCATCTTCACGGAGGTTTCCTAATCGCGTGTGCTGCGCCATGGGTCCGAAAGTGCCCAAGGACGAGAAGGCCAAGACTTCCCAGGAAAACCGGGTGCGAAGACGTGCTTGGCTTCGGGCCAACCCGCCGCCGGTCATTCCGCCGCGGCCACACAGGGAGGTATAGTTCCGACGAACAAATTTGGGATGTGGGGGTGATTTCACTTTATTGTTAATTGGAATTTGTCTGAGCACTTTCCCTGCAGGCTTCAACGTCGTCGACAGATGTGCCGCTGCCGAAAACTGTGCCGGCCAGGGCAACCTCAGTAACTTGGGTAGCAGTAGTTATGTTAGTTTCTTGTCTTGAGAATCC